GTCAGATAATGACCTTGAAAATTAGATTAAATGACCACACGGAACAATGACTTCATCGCTAAACACTACCGTCATACTGGACTAGGAACTCTGCGTAAAAAATATGGCTTCATTAACTTTAAAGTTCTAACACTAAAAATCCAGAAAAGAGCTCACTTTTGAGCTTATAAAAAACTAGCCCAGACTAGTGATCAAATTCTAATAACTATGCTTTTCTCCAAATTTTAAAAATTTTTGAAAATTTTGCATATTACCATCTTTTATTGGTAATTGGGGATATTTGAAAAAAAAACACAATTACTCTAGTTCTTCGTCAGGACCTAAATCTCCAGTGGTGTTACATCACTTGTTGTTGCTCCACTGTCTGCTGATTATATCCCAAACAAAATTTAAAAATAATTCCTCTTTTTGAAAAAAGAGCATACAGTCAGTGATTGCGGAGGCGATCATTTGCATTCGCTGATGATCTTTGGTGCTCAGATGGGTATTCCAGCATCGTTGTCTTGTCTCTTCGATACTTATCAAAATCGTATGGCACACCTGAAATCATCCCAAACAGTTAAATCAGATGAAGCATGGACCCCTTTTGCTCTAGCAACAGCTACGACAGTATAATATTGATGCAAGTGTAATACGATTTGGGTTTGTGAAAGAAAATTATAGAGACAGTCCCCTCCCCCTCCCCCTCCCCCCACCCCACTCTCCTGTAAACCATCAGAAATAACCACGTTGGCCATGTGGCAAAAATGAAAGATAAAGTAGGCAATACGAAACAATACGAATATGCCTGACACCTACCCAGTGCTGCTAAAATAAGACAGGGAAGGCTGTCAGTGCGGCCGAAGAATTTACTTGACAGTTATATAAATAAGAGGAAAAAGTTGGAAAGATAAATCAAGAGTCTCTTCCTTACAGCTCAGGGATGAAACACAGACAAGTAAACAAGCCACTAGACATACAGGCTTGCCTATATGGGAGATCTAAATGGCACTACTTCCAGTGTGTTTTCATTAATTATCAAAACTGTATTTCCCTCCACGATGGTGGGCTGGCAATGCCAAACAAAACGCATATGTTAACGCATAGACGCGATTTCAGGCCCTCGTCCTCTTTCAGTAGCTCCTAGCCAGGGATATTCTCATTGTTTATATCTCTAAAATTTCTACAACACTTATGAGAAGGAAAATACGGCATTATTCGCAAAAAGTTTGTTGAGATTTTTCTCAAAATGATTGTTAGATGTAAGTACATCATCAAGAATACATTTTAAGAATTAATGAAAGAGATTTCGAAAAAAATTTTGATGAAATGTATATTCTCATGCATAGCTATCTAACATTATTTTGAAGTTTCCGAAGAACTCAAGCTGATGGATTGATCAAAAAAAAAAACGAGCTTACATTACAGTGCAGCGCTTCATGTCCACCAAAAACTTTTCCAACTGTATAATTCGGTGCCTCATCACTTGGCTCGAGTCCAAGTTTTTGCAAAACCCAATTTTTGTTTACGCCTTCCAGTTTCAATACTTCTGGTGTTTCATATTTGCCCTGCTCTTCGAATATTTTCGATCCAACTGAATGGTACTTCTCCATACTTGTTATTTTGTCCATATTGCTGAGATCCAATTTATCCGGATGAAATTCATCCTGAATGAAAAAAAAAAAACACTTATTTCGAAAGATCTATCCTGGGATTAATTTGTCGAAAAGTGTGTAAAGTATAAAAATACAGCTTCGGATCTTCAATGAAACCTTCCTTTCGGATTTTCACGAAAATTCACCAATTTATTAGCACCAAGGTAAAGATAAGCTATGAAGCTGACAATTTTTTCGGATACTTTTGACAGGTGCTGTATTGCTGCTAGATGGCCAAGTTACTGCTTACAATTAGAAGACGACAAAAACCAGCTATTTAACATATACTACGCAAAATTACTAGCATAAAAGCAGTTGCCACAGTTTTCAAAAACTTTCTGGCCCGCTTAAATCTAGAGTTGGTACGATGTTAGTTTAAACTTTGGCGTGTGGGTGGGTGTGTGTGTGTACGTGAGACCTAAGGGTGCGTGAAGGCTGAATTTGAAATCTTTGGGTCGCTAGAAATCAGAAGATTTGTGGCTGCTGCTGTTCAAAGCTCAATTGTAACTTTGAAGCTCTAAATTGTTGACGACCAGCAATATAAATTCTTTCGAAAAAAAAACTTACAATATAAATTCTTTTGTGTCCGAACGAGTGCACATGCTCATCGATTCGATCCAAATTGGCGCCAGCAACATAGCAAATGCTACAGGCCCACCACGGTGAGCTTGAAAATGGCATTATCAATTCATGAAGGCATTCCAGGCCTAAAAAAAAATGCCCAGTTAGTCAGTGGCAGTTGAGAGCTTAGGGCCATCTCGTTTGGCAGCTTTTCTCAAAATTCACCAAAAATCACTATGATTCATTGTGAAATAGGTACACAAAAGTCCCTCTCACCTCCCCCTCCCTCTTCTGCCTCCCCTTC